TGCTGTAGGGTAGACTGTGATTTTTTGGGTGATTATCTACCCCGGACTGCCCATTTGCTGATCGATCTATCAAACATGAGCGTGTTCAATATCATTCAATAACTATGTTGAATTGCCAGTGAGTACATTCTTCACATGCTGGATGCCATCTACATAGCTGTCCAGTTGCTCATCAGGTACTCTACTGAAGGATATATTTTAAATGGTGGAGTGTCACCATTTGATGGGCACCAATGTTTGTGCAAATGATTTTAAAACCTAAAGCAATTCCATCATCCACTTGTAGAGTTGTCCAATCACAGGTTTAAGCAACTCCTTCAAGGATCTTCAAGGAACGTTACACTTCCTCCAACCAATGTACCCTCCAGAAATCAGAACACAATTGAACATCCTCTATATAGCAGGTGTCTATAGGAAAATCCTCGAGAGAAATGGCCATGGCTTCCAGTTCGCAAGCTGTTAGTTCTTGCAGGGTAGACCCTTTGAAATGGGGCTTGGACCACCTTTCCCCGTATTTTGGACATTTTTTGACGGCGCCAGGTTGCCACCCTTGCGCGGAAACCCAGTCGCAACCGTCCCAGCTCCCATTGTGGAGCCATTTTTGTGCCCCCAAAGGCGACCCAGCTGCTGGTGACTCAGGCCACGCCCCTCGCGAGACCCTGCGATAGCCGGGGGGCCCAAGCGTTTGTGGAAGGAGCTGTGTTAGTAAGAACCATCCTGGTCAAACTGGATCCCATAGGCTTTATTCTTTAGGGGATGTGATTATATAATATATTTAGAATAATAATATTATAAGATATAACAAACGATACGATGAGAGAGAGAGAGAGATACGAGAAACATGACAACAAGTATACCAAACCGGCGACATCCGGAGGTTGACTTCGCCAGAGCTTTGGGGCCACCACCCAGCGGTCGCAGCGGTCGCCGCTTCAAGCTCTTTGGTCGGTGGCCTCAATTGAAGGGAACATCTTCATCCGAAGCCATGTTCTTTTTTACCTTAAAAAAAGAAACTTGTTTTTACATGGTGTTTACCATGTGTTTTGCATTTTTGTTGGCCAATGAGAGGGTGTCCTCTATTTATTTCAAGCAAACCTGAATCGAATGATTGAGTAATAGATACGGTTTTGTCTGAAAAGACCCTCATTAAACCATATCCATTATAGACCCCAATTTATTCCTTCAAGTCTTCACTACTGATAAGTTTGCCCGAAAACATAGTATCCCTAAATCCACCGGTTACTCGTCATTTTCCCTGTTAACCGAGTATTTTTTGGGAGGTATATCCAATTTTCAGACACACCCATATTTAATATTTAGGGACCACCCCCAAAAAAAAACAGAAAAGGTTCAATGACTATAACTATATTTTGTTGTGGATAGTGATAGTGGGATATTACTTTTTTTGTAGTTTGGTGGGGTGGTTGCTGAGGGATTGAACAACATGAATGATGATAATGCTATACTGAACCTACCTCCTTGTTTTGTCCCCCAAAGACATGGTTTGGATTCGGATGGATTTGAGCATATCACAAGCTTAACCTGCTGCTCAAAAATGGATCAACTTGGTTAGACTTGGTTGTGTTTTCTTTGTGTGTCATATTCTTCGAAAATCTGAAACTGGTGGCAGATCCCTGCACTTTGCGAATTTTTCCCTGAACTTCATCAGTTGAAACTGGCGTTGCATCCCATGCTTTGGAACTGGGCTGAGGTCAGCAGGAATGGAGCTGTAGCCCCGGGTGCGCGAGAGCCAGACTTTTTGGGTGGTTGGAATACAACAACCTGGGCTTCCCTCACCAATGGGAGGTACCTTCTGCTAAGCTAACATTACCTATGGAATCCTATGGACCTATATGGAACATGGCTCATTTGTAGAGGACTTAACGACTTACCTCTTCAAGCTGTGATTTTTCCATAATTACGTCAGTTTGCTGGATGTCAGTTTGCTGGATGGTACCGTCCGGTAATTTCACATGGCTGGTTGGAACATCACCCATTTGGTTTCATGATTATCCCGCCATTCACTTTCCCATTGTTTCCCATTACAAGTTTGGTTTTTCCAGTCGAACATGTTTGGTTACCAGAGGGCAATACCTATGGCAATACCCCATGATCGCAAGTTTTGTTTTAGGAGCAAATATATTGGTCACATGATGGATCTTGGGATAATTCTATTTTTGGATACTTTTGGAGAAACCTATTTGGCAATGAGTGTTCCACTCCTGGCATCCAGGTGTTGGAAATACCATGGGTTTTCTGCTTGGTGAGTCATCCAGATTCAATTCCAAAGTTCTTCCAAGGTGATGTACCCTTTGGTAAACTAACAAAAAGCTATTGAACATGGCCATTTACAGTGAGTTTTCCCATTAAAAAATGGTGATTTTCCATAGTTATGTAAACGTTAACCAGAGGGTATCTCTTTCTTCGTCGATTGGGGGTTCGGGGATGCGGACGACAGATGGACTCCGAATAAGGAATGTGGAATCCTGTCAGTCGTCAGTAGGTTGGACTTTGAAGTGGGATGGTTACGTACATGGTAAACATACAAAAAACTATTGAAAATTGCCATTTATAGTCGATTTACCCATTAAAAATAGTGATTTTCCATAGCTATGTTAGTTTACCAGAGGGTACATGGCAAGATATTTTCACCGTAATCATCCATAATCCTTTTCTGTTCTCACGAACTTGGTCTTTCTAGGGTGTGAAGTCAGGTTTGTTGATTCGGGCTTTCATGGTTGGTACCTCATGGGCCACCATCATGAACAAGAAATCCCTACTCTGGGGTTGCTGGGGAGTGAATTTCCAAGTTGCCAAGTCCCTTTCCTTTGGAATCCAGTGCTACCATGTGCTACCCACATTTCAATAGCATTCATGTGCAAAAAAAATGCCACGATTTTTGTACGCTGAAGACATCAATTCCACGTTGATTGCTGATGATCACCCTGCTGGAGACTATGAAGCTTCGCCTTACTGCGTCAGGCATCGTGGCGACGTGCCGCGTCCGAAGATTGAGCTGCAAGGCCGGAGCATGGACATTCCTTGTCTCCAAGAATTGGAAGGGAAGAGATATTAGGCAATCCCCACTTTGAGGTAGGAACCATTACTGGCTTGGTGGTTTGGAACATTTGGAACATGTTTTTCCATTCACTTGGGAATTTCATGATCCCAACATATCCCAATTGACTTTCACTCCATCATTTGTTTTCTCCATATTATATATATATATATTTATTATCATATATATATATACATTGGGAATTTCATCATCCCAACTGACGAACTCACTCCATCATTTTTCAGAGGGGTTGGGCGAAAACCCACCAGACCATCACCGGGCCGAGGCCTCGATCGGAGCGATGGGCAGGGTGCCCGAGATCCTGTTGCGGTGCCGGGCCTGCTGGCATCACCCGCATTTGCAAAACCCATGAATGGTGGTAAAACAATGCCATAAACCATCCCCAATTTCACCATGTTTATAGGTGGTAAGATATTTTTTTAATATATACATACATATAAAATATGTATATACATGCAAATCCCAGATGGGTGGTTTATTATTTTTTCCCAGGTTAAAAAAACATGAGGCGCAACAACATTGGCTTTTGTCTCCCCCAGCAAAATGCTGACAATGCTGCCTCTGCCATTGCTGAAACTGCGGAGATTCAAAAAAAAACTTGATGATCAGCTGAAGCAAATTTCCATAAAATTTCCTGATCCCTCTGGGTTTGTCTTCGTCCAAAACTGGAGGATACCCTCTGGTAAACTAACATAGCTATTGAAAATCACCATGTTTCATGGGAAAATCCACTATAAATGGTGATTTTCCATAGCTATGTTCTCAAAATTGCCTGACGTTCATAGGGACCCAACAGCGTTTTGAGGCGAGCCCACTCTGTGGGGGTGATGTCTCGAAGCTCCAGTAGGCGAAGCATGCGGCCGAGCGCAACGGAAGGCACCCAACAGGCCAGATTTTCCCGCAGTTTTGGAGGTGGTTTTCCTTGTGAAACATGGGATTATCATGGGTCATCTACCTGCTTTGAAAGTGGACATGTCGGACATGCGCGAATTTATTGGCATAAAAACATCGTCAAAGCTAGTTTGCCGTTTGGAAAATCAGCCCAAAAACTTCTTTGCATACCGAGTAGCTGCCGCTCTTTTTCAGCTTTGGGCATATGTTCATGGCTGATACTGTTGGTCAAGCCATCTCTTGCATAGCCTTTTGGCGGATGTTAGCGACCTCCCTGTGGACACCATGAAGGATAGTAAGGAGGGACAATCATACCCCTCAGACCCTCTTGGAAGCTCTGGATTTGAAGCTTTGAACATGAACCCCACCTTAGGTTGGGTTTGGGTTTCATTCTGGGATCCAGTACCGATGTTTTTTTTAGGGTTGGTGACATTGAGAGGCCCTAGAAGCATGCAATAAAAGTATGTAAAAGTTTCAAATAACTCTCCCAACCCTGAAAATCACCAAGAATGCTACCACCTCAACTCAACCTCAACCCCAAAAAATGTGCCCAAGAAAATCTCAAAATTTCAACTTTATTTTGAGGGGGGGAAGCCCTCCCAAGCATGTCATCCCTTATAGGCTCCCAGTGAGCCTGGCAGCTCGCGTCGGGCTGGAAGCTCCAAAACCTTGAGAGCCATTCGGGCGGTTTACCGGGTGCCCCAGCGGACGAGCGGACGAGGGGGAATCATTTGGATGTTTTTCATTGGGTCAAGTATACCTGGTCCATTGGTCAAATACTATGGTCAAATGCTATATTATGGCTCAATCATTATGGTATACTATGGTCAAGTATGGTTAAGCCAAGTATACCATAGTATACCATTTGGAGAATTTGTATCCATTTGTTGAGTTAGAAGAATCAGGAGATTGAACATCAGCTTTTGTTCAGTCTCACCTGATGTAATTCGCACTTCAGTCTGACTGTGATGATTTCCCCTAGTACAACAACTCTGATCTTCAGCATTTTGGGCTTGAGAGATTGCTGGTAGGCGGCGGTAGCAGTGCAGTGCCATGGCAGTGATTGGGCACTGGGTGGCTTCTTTCCTGCTATGTTACTTGGTACCTCAAGCATCAGCGACTTGGTTTATTCAGTTGTGGGCTCCTGAGGCCCCGGTGAAACCAAAGCTGTTGCATGGATTTAGTTGCACGGATGATGTTAAATCTTTGCAACCAAATTTCATCCATATATATATATATATACATACACATAAATAAATCTCTGTGTTGGGTCTCCCATTTTCGCGGTGCTTCGATGTGTGATTCATGGATATTCATGGCACCACCATGGACAGCCCAAGAGGGCGGCTTAACCAGGTGACTTTGCTATGCAAGATGGATGCTTGGTTGAGACAGCCGAATCTTAAGGGGCACTGAGCCAGATGTATCCTCCTGATGATTCATAGCGAACTAGACTAAGCTCTACGAGGTAGGCCGTCACAGTCATGTTTGTTGGTTTATCACCTCCATTAACCATATATATAGAGGTTATAAACACTATAAATGGAAGATACAAATCTATATTTATAGAGGTTATATACCAGATATATATATACAAATCTATACCATAAATATCCATAAATATCCATAAATCAGCCCACTGATTTTCTGGTATTTTCTAGTATTTCAATCAATTTCGCGTTCACATTTTGGGACACCTTGCGTAGACGATGGTGGATATTGGGGATGCCTCCAGGAAATGATCCACAATTACCAGAGGCTCCCCATGAATTTTGGCATTCAAAGTCACTACCCTCTGGTATTAGCTATTGAAAAGGCCATAGAAATAGCTATTAAACTGACATAGCTATTGAAAATTAGTAAACATTCACAGTTTGCTATTGAAAATGGCCCAGTCGAAATAGTTGATTTACCCATGAAACATGGTGATGTTCCATATAGTTTTTTACAACTGGGCTGGTAACTCACCAACTGGGCTGGTTTTTATCAGTGTTGGAACCTTTCAAAACCACCAAAACTGGGGCCATATCGAGGCCATGATGTCCGATTTCACCTGCGGCTTCTTACTCTTAGCGAAAGTGGAAGGTGTGGCGGTCTTCCCCTGGTACTTGAGCACACCGCCACCGGCCGCCAATGCGACCATCCAGTACTGGAAAGAAAGCGGCCAGTGGCTTCCGGGGGTGGATGAAACTGCACCTCAGCCTGCTTGAGTTGTAGATTTGGTGGATGTCCCTCTGGACAAATTGCCAGAGGGCATGTGTGAAAACTAGGTTCATGAAGGGGTAAGACATTTCTTTAAGGTTTGAACATGGAAAATTATGGCAAATGCTGGCTTTTGCCGAGTCCAACAATTTGTTACTTAAGGACATCATTGCCAGTACTGGAAACTAAGATGGACACCTCAAGACCTGCGTGGGTTCCAAGTGAAGTTTCACTTCCTGTGTTTAATGCTTGAACCACTGGCATTGTTGGTGTGGCTTTTGGATGTTTTTGTGCTGCGGGCTTTGTGTGGCCTTTCTTGAAAGACCTACAGTAGGAATTGGTTCTGACTGAGCATGGCTGAGCAAGATTTACCCCAACACTGGGATGCTCCATCCAACGCATGACCAATGTTGTTACGTCGACAATTCATCAGTACCCCAAACCCCAAATGCTTGAGAAAACCATGGCCACTCATGAGCCAATATTGAGCCATCCATGGAGGATTATCCAGCTCAACCAATAAAGCATTGACCTTGGTGGAAGCCATGATGGGATACCCTCCTGTCATCATGGGCTTGCCGGAATATCCACCATGTTTCTGGAGGATTTTTCATGCTACCTGTGAGTACCGAAAGGTATAACTCTAGCCTTTTCCTTGGTGGCCAACTTTCTCCAGGCGTCACAAGGGTTTCTCGGCTTTGCGGCACTGTTTCCCATGTATTTGGACATCCCCTACTCCCACAGCGTGCTAGGTAGCTTGTTGATGCGAGTGGTCTGGCGGGACGTTTGGCAGGGGTCTCCATATGTTCCCTTTTTGTGAGGGGCTTATGTTTCCTTTAACTATTATACTTAACAGTTAACTTGTGCTTGACCCTTGAGAGGGGATGCTTTTTTTGGAAAAGAATTAGTGAAGCCATCTGAATCCAATCTGAATTCTGACCGACGGGTGAGCCACTGACCTCTGAAGACTTGAGGTATGGCGATTATTGGCCTCCTGGTTGCCATCATTGCATGGCTACGTTATGGCAACAGGGCGCAATGGCCGGCCGTTGAAATATCCTTTTCAACCCAACGGTTACCCCCCAAACGCAAGATGCCAAGGATGACGGTTCGGGAATGCCCCCCTCCATTTCAGACACCGGATGGACATGGAATCCTCATGAATCTTCAGATCATGTTTGATCGGTCCGAATCGCTGTGATGATTCAAAATGAGATGATGTAAAGTACCTGGCAGTGCGGGAATGCCTGACAGTTATTACCTGATGACTAGAACTTACAACCAATCACCCGACTCGTATATGATTCTTCCATTAGATTTGGCTCCTTTTACGGATCTTCCGGTCGTCAGGTATTGGATTTGCCTACGCCATGGCCATCTTCTTGGCTGCCATCAGCCACCCCGTGCTGGACATGTTCTTCCACGATGCGTATGTCCTTGCCGGGAACCGCGCGGTGAGTCGTGTGACCGTCAACTTTTGGCAGATTTACTATATGGAGCCGGTGCTTTGACAAAGAGTGGGTCCTGGGACTCCTGGGACTGGATAGTATACGTTCACATAGATGGGCCATCTAGTTAAAGATGATTTACCTGTTGGAACTGGTGATTCCTCCATGTTAGACTATCGGAGTCTATTATTATTATGTATTATTCGTATACTTTCTCACACGCACATGTGTGATTTTATTTATTTATTTGTTTATTTATGTGTATAATACATATAATACATGTACAAGTAGCTGTGTTGTTTGAGGCTTGCCTTCCCCTGCTTTAAAGCGTCAGTCGTTTGAGTGGTTCCCACAGGTTTCAAGTAAGGACTATGCTTGAGAGATGTTGCCTGGAATGTTCTGGACTCATTGGCAGCCGAACGATCCCAACCCCAACAGCTTTTCAACCGCTGAGTCATTTGGGGGGCAAATCTTGGTTTGGTAGGTTTGCTACGTCACTTTGAAGTTTTGTGGCCGGTAAAATGAAGAACTTCTTCAGTTGTTCGCAATCTTGACATATTTTCATGATCTTCAAGGCCTCAAAATTTCACCAAGTTACATGCTGAACGATACAAGAGCTACCAACCCAACCAGCACAGGGCCCTCAGAATTGCCAATCCCAATTCATGAAAGTCATTTTGGGGTCCATGTTGGAGGGTAATGTAAAACATATGGTGGCCCCGCCCTGGTTTCGTTCGCCATGATGCCAGAAGATCACTGCGTTCAACGGGTAAATCATATCCATTTTCCATAGCAAATTGTGGAATGTTACTGCAGGCCATCCAACAAACAACTACCATAGTCATCTATAGTCTAAGATGGTTTTGTAATGTGGGAAGCTAAACATCCATAAACATCCATTAAAACTACCATTTGGATCCATTTGGGGATGGTTTCAATCGCACAGCAGCTGCAAAGATGGTGATGACTTGGGGATGGTTTATGGCATGGGGTTTACCACACTAGTCACGAGTATTATATTATACATATATATATATACACACGCATATATATATATATACATATAAGGTTTCGGCCCAGGGGTGATAGCTTCGCGATCTACCGCTATTGCCCTTAGCCACTAACCATAGGGCGACGCTCCAAGCGCATGGTTGGATGATTGCTCGCAATTTACTTGTGGCTTGACTTTGTTGCCTGGGTCTCTACTCACACTGGCGAATCAGCTCGAACCCTACTGGCACCGTCGCCTCAGGAAGAAGAGGCAGCGGGTGCGATCCTGCCTGAAGCAGGTGAGAGCTGGTTTTTGGGGGAAAGGAACGAAAAGGAGAGCAAGAGTGGCTTGGAGCGTTTTGCACAGCCACCATTCTTTCAATCCTGCAGATCTTCCCCTCGAGGTACAGCAGTTGAGTACAATGACGTGGCATTGTCAAGCATGCAAAGTCAACAATACCCCAAAGATGACCTATTGCCGATCATGTCAGGCTCACTGGAGTGCGGTTTGGACAGCACCGCGTCGCTCCAGATCCAAGAGCAGCAAGAAGCAAAAAGCAACTGCTTCGGAGTACAAGGCGGCAGAACAGGTCAACCAAGAGTCAGACACATGGGCAGTGTTTTCGGACAAGCTGCCATGGATTCCCACTACGCCGGCCAGCAGAGTTCAGCGAAAAGTGGAAACAGGAATTTCTATGGACAAGCCCCTTGGGATGCCACCGCAGCCAATTCTGCCACCAGCGCCTTCTGTCGAAGCACCGATGGCGCTTACAGCGGAGGAAGACAAGATGCTGCAACATCTCAGAGGGTTACAGTCTATGGACATGGAGCTCACGGAGTCGATGGCATCAAGATTGGAGGAGCTTTCCATGAGGGAAGCGAAAGCACAATCCAATCGCGCATTGACGCATGGGCAGTTGAACAAATTGAACAAGCTCAAAGGGCAAGTGGCAACAGCTGCACAGAAGATCAAGGACTTGGATCAAGAGTGGACATTGTTTGTCAGCAACACGATTGCCAAGGTCCGACAGCATGGAGAGATGTTCCAAAACTGTCGAGCAGATCTGATGGAGCACTACAATGCCAAGATCTTGGAGCTTGCAAATGTAAAGCAGGAGATGACGCTGGCGTCCAGGTCCCTGTTAGGACCTCAATGGACAGAACCAGTCATCGAGGAAATGCCAGATTTGGAGGTGCAGTTCGAGGACCTGCAGAATACCCTGACCGCAGAGGGACATGCAAGTTCCATCGATCTTACAGACACCATGGACGACGAGGAGCTTGTAGAGGCGGAGGATGTAGCCCAGGGGGCAATGAGCAAAGCGACTCCGAAAGCTTTGCGTCCCTTTCGTGGGTCAAGTTCGCCAAGCAAAGTTGCGAACCATCATCTCAAGCCAAAGGCGCAAGATTTGAAGGAAATCAAAGATGCCAAAGTCAGGGAGAAGGAGAAGGAGGACAAGTGAGTGTTGAGATGACATCTGGATGCAGGGAAGTCAGCAGTCATCTAGGAGCTCCACTACCTCTCCTTTCAAAAGACGATTTCTTTCGAAGACGGATCGAGGAGTTTTGGCATTCACATTTCAATCAACGTTTCTCCTGGAACAAAGACATGAATGTGTCAGACGACACTATGAGTCAATGTGAAGGAGCAAAACACAATGTGGTTAGTTCTCACGGTTTGCTGAGGGATGAATCGACAGTTTATGAGTGTGTTGGCATGGAGGTTGTCCATCACAACAGAAATCTGTTCGGCGTTGCACAGCAGTGGTACAATGAGAAGGTTGAGGCAAAGTATGAGCCCCTGTGTTACAGAGATGGATCCTTTGACTCCCTTGCTTATGAAGTGCGATGTGACAGTGAATTTGGCAGTGATCAGGGTAACTTGGATCTGATCAAGCCAGCGGAATTGAAGGATGGAAATGAGACCGTTTTGCGAGGTGGCGAAGAGGCTAACGTGGATCTCTTCGCACCTCAGGTCTGGGGCACAACAGCAGGCTCTTCAGGGGATGGCAATTTGTCGTGCCAAGGTTGCAGTCTTCCCTCATGGTGTAGACGATGTCCTGTACCGCATGGTGATGTGGCAGACAGTCAAAAAAGGGGCAAAGGAAAGAAGGTCACCTTTTCTACGACTGTCGAATTGCATCTGGTTTTTCAGGAGCAGCATTGTATTGCGGTCATGAATGACGTTGATGCGCATGACATGTGGAGACATTTTTGGCATTTACATGGACAAATTGCAGTTTGGAAGGATTTCCAGATTGGGTTTGCGCGATTGGCAGCCCTGAATCTCATCCCTTTTTGGAATGGTGAACCGGTTGAGTCTTATCCAGAGGAGCTTGCAATTTTCATACAGAATCCATATACGGAGCAAGGAGTTGTTGCAGATGGCTGGTGGAATGTGATTTCTCAGCAATGTTCACAGCATGACACTGGGCCGGTTTTTGTTGCAACTTGGTTTCTCTCACCTGAGCGCTTTCATGTTTGTGTGCGTCCTCGTCGAATCAGATTTCATCGGCAAATGAGTGCCTCTGATTTTGAACGTGCGTGCAGGGAGACATGGAAGGAGTTGATGGATGGATCAGTTTTGCGTTTGTATGTGGTGGAGGGCCAACCTGAGGGTGGCCTGCCTAGCACCAGGGCGCACATCATCATTGTCCAGGGTGATGATATGCATTGGTCCACCCTTTTGATGAAAGGTGTTGGCCTTCCACCCCTCATGTCTGTTAGAGCGGTCTTGTTTCGGCAAGACAGCACTGTTCGTGCTGTTTTCCGAGAAGCACAATACCCAGAGGCTTGTGGCAGGCAAAATTTTCTTTGTTGTTTTCAATACGACCATCAGGGAGCAATGATGCAGATTGCGGATGACAGCTTGTGCAGAATTCCACGGGCTCAATATGTTGTGGGCAACCTTTGCCCCTTGGAAGCGTCAGATGAGGATGACGAAGCATCACCCACTTCATCGATGGCTTCCACAGATCTTCCTTCTGATGAAGAAGAAGATGATTCAGCTTCCTTGATATCCATGCACTATGAGGAAGGACAGTCGTGGACGTGGGAGCGACATCAAAAATTGGGGCAAAATCATGTTGCCAATGAGAGGAGTCAGGTGGACAGATCACTTACAGGGCCAATAGACGGGAAGGAGGATAACTCGGATCTCCTTTGGTCTTGGCAGACGTATCACCATGACAAAATCTTGCAAGTTCTCGAAGGCGGGGGTGAGGCTAACGTGGATCTCACCTGGCCTAGCATGCATAGCAACATGGTGGAGGTTGACAGTGATGAGGTTGGGTTAGTGTCCAATAGACCCATCACCTTCCAATTTGAACGACCGGATCCATATCCGTGGGAGGCCATTGAAGATGATGACCTCGATCAGGAGGATGAAGAGAGCAATGATGATGTTGCATTTGCAAATGGCCATCAAGAACAATCGCAAGCCTTCATAGACCAAGCCCTTGAAGGTCTCGTTGAAAGTGAACGACGGTGGGTTGTTGTGACTTACGGTCTGGGTCTTGTCGACTTGGGTCGAAGGGACACGGACTTCAACCCATGGAGGCTTCACGAATTGGAAGGAAAAATCCGTACCTTATGGGAGGACCATTTACGCTACGGAAGCATCACAATTTATCATGTCACGCCACAGCCATGTGAAGTTGCGGGGCCAAATACTCTGGTTGTACTGGTTGTCATTGAGAGTCCGGAAGACATGAATGAGGACGTGAGAAATGTTCTAGTCATTCAGCGAGGTCCTCGTCATTTGCCTCTCAGACCAGCGCCTTATGGAGCCAAGATCTTCACTGATATTTCCATCAGAGATGCTCTGGTCCAATTGGACATGCACAAGCATTGCAAGCCTTTCAAGATGAGGGATTGTCTCATACGTCTGGGATACAATGTCATGGAACCGGATCATCGCTATGACGTTAGAGACGGATGGCTGTGCACTGTACGTGTGGAAGACACACCAGAATTGGTGACACAAGCAGGCACCATCATTGACAGAGTGGAAGACTTTCTATTTGCAAGCGGAAGAATTGCAGCACATGGAGGGAGACATCCAC